GCCGAGTGACACCAGTTGTCATGACAATCAGGAAATTAAACAACACCGTAATTTTTAACTGGTATTTAAGAGGCTTTGAGCAGAGTTGTGGTCTAAGACAATTCTGTGTTTTGTGATAACTTCATGAATTGCAGACCTTCCTCAGAATGAGCCACGGAATGCATCATACCAATCAATTCCAAGCAGCTTATCTACTGCCCCCAAGCCTAGTAATTCTCCTACACATACTGTATATCCTCTTTATCAGATATTTTTTTCTTTATTTGGGTTATTAAGTTGAAGATGCTACACCTATTGTTCAAAATATTCAGCCATATTAGGTCAGTGTAAGAATGCTTAACGTATCATTTTTTGTTTTTCAATATCTTGTATAGAGATGGGTTTTTTCTTGCCCAGATGAAAGTAGCAGGGAAATACTGTCATAACGCGGTATCTGCTGCAGAGATACTGTTTTTTTTTTTTACCATATGACACAAGGGAAAATTATAAAATGTCATAGACAATGACGATGTTCAGCAATCGAGAAATAGATTAAGATAGCAATTTATACAGTAAAAGTCCTAAACAGCCCTTGTTTCACTGTTCATTCATGAAATAATCCTGACAATAGGTACATGATTATTCAAAATTTACACTATAATCTTCTCACCAGAATGCCACTCACTTTCTGTATTAAACGCTTCATTGGAACAAGAGCTGGATATTTTTCTTACAGGTAAATTGCCTTGTGATATAGTGAGGGGTGGCTTTGTGAGAAAGCTAACATTATGGCTCAAAACCCAGGCCCGAAGGTATGGTCAAGCTGACCACCTGTTCATTGGGAAAAGCTGCAGAATAAGGCACAGATGGTCTATATGAACCACTGGGCTCTTGGAGGGAGTGAGATTCCACCTGAGGGAAAGTGAGCTGTTGGGATACTCTCTGCATGGATTTATGCACTCCTCTTGCCTCCTGGTGAATTAAGAGGTTTATAAGACTTAAGGGAAATGGTTTCAGTTTGTATGTAGACTCTAGCCTAGAAGGACTTAGTAGGAGCTCTGGTGGAGAGCTCTTTCTACTGACGGATTGGACTGGCTTATAGGTTTGTGAAACTCAGAGTGCTAGAACGTCTTGGGGAAGGTACATCTTAGACTGCTCTGCCGGGAGTCACAGGTTCTTTACAGCCTGGTTGCATGGTATTGGAACAGGGTTGGCCTGAAAACTAAAGATGTGGAGGTGCTGATTGGAAGTGTTAGCAAGCATACTTCTTTCTATGATTGATCTAAATGGAACAGGCTAAGTCTCAAGTACTCCCCATGCCTTAACATCTACATGTCTCAAAGAGTAAGAGTTAGAGTGTTAGAGAATGATTATGGCAAACGTAGCTGCTGCTCAGTTAGGGACACAAGTATTTGTGTTAGAGAGGCACCCATGACTAAACAGGTTCGGCCAGGTGATTAACCAAGTGATGAATGCAAGATCTGGTGATTAATGAAATTGTGATTCATGAAGATAGCAAGAAAGCACCTAGGACTAAATCAAAACTCCAATGCCTGGTGTACAGATTGCATGAGGTAATTGGGAGGTATAAGAGTATATAATGAAACCATGAGTTGTGTGTGAGCAGAAGAAAAGATAAGGAAAACCAGTGGAAGGAAGAGAACTGCCCAGTCCTTTTGAGGAGATACAGTAGATGAGTAAGAGCTAGGATCTGAGATTGGATACCAAAAATTGTATAAGATTAGAGATAGAACACATAAAAATGCCAGTTAGTTGGTGTGCTGGCAGTGTTGAGGAACACAGTGGAGTATGGCAGCATTCTCAGAGGCCTCAATCACAAAGACAGTAAAGGCTGTACCACATTAGACAAATGTAATGGCCATAGGTAAGTTTGTACTTACTATGGCCTATGGAAATTATTAGCAAATCATTAGCACAGTAACATGTGTCTAAATAACTGACAAATGTAACAAACATACCCTTTGTGACATTCATTATCATAAAGTCAAGGTACACATGAGGATAATGGAATTACACCACACAAAGATACCACTGACTACAAAATACAGAACAGAACAGCATTTTGAAGTACTTGCTTCTTGGTCAATATAAAACATGAAATTTAGAATATGGGTGTGGCTGTGTTTTAAATTCTTTTATAGGAAAATCATCAGCTAATTACACCTGCTTTTTATGCTTTCAAATTTGAATGCAAGTTAGGAAAACATTGGAAAGTGTTTTAAGAATGTAGTGTGCATGGTTGACACGTGACTATATACACCTTCTCAGTTTTACGTGTATGAATGCACATGCATGTAAGATTTGCAAGATTTGTGAATACAGCATTTTAGGCCTTTACTTTCTTTGTGATTGAGGCCTCTGAGAATGCTGCCATACTCCACCGTGTTCCTCAACACTGCCAGCACACCAACTAACTGGCATTTTATGTGTTCTACCTCCAATCTTATACAATTTTTGGTATTTTTAATAGCCTTCTATTATCTGTGTCTTACATACTTCTAATCTTGTAAGAACGTTTTGCAAATGAGATAAATCTAATTCAGTTTAGGACAGTACATCTTGTACATTGTTTTCATGTAAAATTAAGATTAACCTGAATAAGGACCCATCATGTAGAAGATTCAAGCAGATTCCCGCAACATTGAGACACTGAGTTTTTGGGATAGTTTGAAAACCTACAGTATTTATTTACCAATCACTTAGTACAATGTCCTAGTTTTTGCAGTCCTTCTGGCCACGTCTCACCCTTTAGATGGAAAGCAGGCTTCCCTACACAATAATGAACGGTTATTCTATGTCCTGGAATTTTTTTCATCACCTTAACCAGTTAACTCTCACTGGTTAACTGATTCCTCTTCACCCTTATTTATCAATTATAAAGGAGCTGATGTCCTCTTCTACTCCTCTAAAACCCATACCTCATATCAAAAAGACAAGGTGATTACTTTGAACATAGAGCTTAAATGTTCATACAGGAGACAACCCCCCTTCATTTTCTTCATTTAAAACTGTAGTGCAGTACCTATCTTTGTATGCACCAGCAGCCCCACTATACAGCAGATCAGGTGGAGAAGTAAAAACAAAATCAGTCAACAGTCACTACATTGGGACTTTAAAATTCTGTTCCAGAGGGAAGAGTGCCATCTACTGGTCCGTCAATATCCCCTAAATCACCATTCCTTGTTTTCATATTGTAAATAAGATTTCTAATTTCGTCTTCTTCCATATCCCTCTTTCAATGACATTTGTTTCTTGTCATATGTGTACTGTATGAATTAACCACAATACCTGTACATTTTGTTTTCTAACTGCATTCTCCAGCAGGAGTAGGTGCCAACAACAGAAAAAATCCCCTAAAGAAAATAATCACATTTGGGAAGCAACAAGCAAGCAAGGCACCACTGTGCTATAGTCCTCTCATCCTCCAAGCATGAAAATGAAAATTATTCTGCCACAGAAGGAAACAGTAACAGCCACCTGCTGTTCAAAATGATGTGGTGCCGTGAAAAAGAGGGATATAGAGAATTTGCTTCTCAAATTTCTAGTTAATCTTCTTGGAATTGACAGCACAAATTCCTGGGGATGTGTTTAACTAAGAAGTCAATTTCAATTTTTCAAAAAAGCTGTCTTGTACATTACCTGAAATGTGAAACCACTCAAACCTTGGGAAAAAAAAAAAGTTTGGTACAGTTAAGGGTGGAACTAGGGAAAATCTCTACACCTTGTTCTGATGCTGTTGTCATTTATAATTTGCAATTATAGTGATAGATTAATAAGTGGGAATCAGTGTGAGTGTTATGGCTATAGTTCTCTCCCTGCCTGTATAAACAAACCATTATTTGAGTCAGGTCATTTCTTTTTTTGTCCACAAAGTGCTATATTATAGTATTACTGTAATTCAGGTACAATTTGTCGTGGAAACCTACAAACACAATACATTTTATGTTTATTTGACAACTACCTTCTTCCTGTTTTAATTAATCACATTTGTTACTATGACTGTACCTGGAATGGATAAGCTCTGCTCATACTGCTCTCCAACCATATGGCCATACAGTATGCCTAGGCTTAGCTTTCTGAACTAATCTGAACAAAGAGTCCCTTTACATTTGCTGGGCAAAAACATTCTTTCTTTCAACGTAAGACATAAAATATATAAAATATAAAAAATATAAGATAGAAAATATCTGTGGTCCCTCATGTGGGACACATACTGTATAGACTGATGAGACTAGTCTTTCACTTTCCAAAACAAAATACACATCAGAACCTTCCAATCCTAGAGCTTGGTATCTTGTGGGTTCTGCTTCAGATGGTATTTAAGTTGAGTGATTCAATAATTTGCTAATTTGAACTTCTAATGGGTTTTTCAAATATCACATCATTGGTGATTTCAAGTGTGTATAAAATTCATCACTAAGCTTGAAATGTTTTCAAGATCTGAAATAATTAATACAATTATTAGCTCAAGTTAAGTGTTCAACTGAACAAATTAAAGTTCATTTGTAAGAAAAAAACAGGAGATACTGGGTTCCCCAGATGAAGGACTGGGGAAGATCAATTCTTTCATACAATACAGTTTGGGAATAGGATTACAGTAGGTCACTGCCATAACCAGAAACTGTGAATCATGATATCACAAACAATTTCTAACAATGGGCTCTGTCTATTAGTACAGAAAAGAACCTTCTGAGGAATTGACAGCACATATGTAACATGTTGTAAAAGGCGATAAAACTCCTTCCCATTCTGATTGAGTCTAAATCAAACATGTTTCTGTTTATTGAAGAGTTTGGTCATTTTTAAACTGCTCTATATTATTCATTTTGCTCCGTGTTTCTTTTACTTGCTCAAGAGTGTCATTTGTCTATTTTTAGACATGATGGCACAACAATGGTACAACATTTCCTTACTGTGATCAAATCTTATCACTGACCATACTAGTGGCTTAAGCTGACTTCTTCAGTTCCTTCCTTCAGTTTAAATGGGTAAAGTCTGACCTGTGCCTGTGGTGTGATCCCCCACTGGTCCTGTGTTATGAGACTCTGTCGGCCCAGATCTCCTCTCCCAATCAAAGTCATCAGCACCCCCCTGAATCCAGCCACACATGTCAGCCTCAAAAGAACAGTTAAAGGGAGGCAAGACTGCAAAAAAGAAGAGGCATCAATAAGAATTTCACAAAAACAAAACCCAAAGGTGTGAGAAGAGGATTAAAAAAACTCATCCTTACTGCTAAAATTATAGCAAATACTAGTTTATCAATTTATTTAAATTGTCGTGACAATTTATTTGTATGTTTAAGTGTAGGAGACATGAACAGAAAAGTATCTGTAAAATGTATGTACGCTGCATGCAATCAATTGGAAAAAGGTGTTGCTTGACCTCAGCAATTATCCTGTGGTATTTCTACATTCCAATATTTAATATTTAATATTAATTAAATTACAGTTTTTCATTACGGATAAAAGAAACTCAAAGAAAACCCAATATAAGAGAATCACATAATTTGTGTGTTCACTACAAAGTAATCTCAGATTCAGTTGCAAATTAGATTCAATATTAGACCTACATGTCAATCCCAAATCAAGCTTCATCAGTGGGATTGCATTGTGGTTTTCTACAAAAACTCAAAATCAAGAAAGGGGTTGTTATTCAGAATGAGCTTGTCAGTAAAAGCTTTTTTTAAACCAGACCTTAATCACTGCATATCACGATTACCCTAAAGAAATGTTTTACTCCTCCTGAAAGCTTTTAGCAGCTAATTGAGCTTGAAAACAACTAATTGGAACAGCACTTATTTAAAAAAATAAAACTACATAAAAATAGGACACTGCTGCTGGTCCTAGTACTGTATATCTGTGCTACTATTTATGGCACAGAAAAAAGTTTGAGAATAACTGATTAACTGGGATAGTACACCATATGAAAAATAGTAAGGGAGCTTCATAATATTAACATGATAGTTAACAATCAGAGATCTAAGAAAGATTAAAGAGCTGATTTCCTGTACGGGGGTACACATGCATAAAAATTAGGCTTGTTCTGGGAAGTTGAAAGGGGAAAAAAGTATTTTTACTCCTAGAAGAAATTAATTTTTTAGTTTTTCAAACAATATTGAACCACTATTTGTTTTATTTGAGAAAGAGCACTGATCAGTTATTGAAATGATAAAATATAATTTTGTACACCCTATTCAACAATTGCATTTGAAGAGATTGCATACACACATTGTACTACATTTTTCAAATGCACAGACGGGTGATACAAGAAAAACTGGATCCTAAAACTACCGTCTGTGGTGATGTTTTGTCTCATCTTGATTAATTCCCTCTTAAATCAATTTATTTATGACTAAACGAAATGTAAAAATAAAGTCTATAGTATAATTTTAGAAAGTTAAGAGGTGCTCAGTAACTAAACTAGAGGTGGTACAGTATGTGTAACATAGTATAACAGAGAATAATATATAAGTATATAATATACATTTATATACATTAAACTGAGAATAAGAGAAAAGTGATTAAATATTTTTGTGATTCTCTTTTATCTGATCCTCACATACATTTGTAAGTGTTGATATTTGTCACCAAAAAACTGAATGTGATTTGTTGCATTAGATACAGTAAAACCCTTCCCTGAGAATCAGTCACAAACTCTCAATTTTCTTAACAAACACTGAATAACACAATGAAACTAAACACAATATATAACATGTAATGACAAAAATAAAAATTACCATTATGAATGGCAATATTTTAAGATAATGAAAACTCAGGCATTACTGTAGATTGTGTAGAAGGAGAAAAATTTAGGATGTTCAGATTTTTTTATGGTTATTGCCTACCAAGAACTCAAAATCTGACCAAGAAGGCATTTGTCTTTAAAATATCCAAAACATACAGTACACAGCAAGAGCAAATGCACTCTGCTGACTGGAAAAGTTATATTTATTGTAAAAGATAAATGAATTAAAATAGGAGGAGACTTTAAATAAGTACTAATGCTCCTATTTAAAAAAATACTGATTAAATTGTATGTACTACAATCCTTAATGACATAATGCAAAAAAGTAATAAAATAATATAGTTCATGATTGCTTTTTTATTGACATGAATCTATGTAATTCTTCTCTTACACTTAATTCACCAAGCTATTGTTTGTTGAACAATTTTAAAAAATCATAGAAAAGTAAAAGAACTTCAAGGCCTCAATTAGCTAGTGTAAATGTTGTTTGTATATTTCAAATTACTTCCGTTAGACTTCTGGAGTCTTGTATCATATCTTTAAATAATACTTTTTCTTCAATAAACTTTTAATGTTTACTGAGAAATACAGAATACAGCTTCTGTTCTTCCCATCTCTTCTATTCTCTACTCAAGTTCAAGTTGATCAAAAATACAAATACTCCACCTGGTGGTTGATAGGAAGTTTCACAGTTTTTAAAGGATATGTCATCCAGGGCAATGTCATCTGTTGCTGTTGGGATGTCATTCAGGTTCAGCCTAGGCAGGCTGCTGAACAAGATCTTCAAATCAAAACAAACATGGGGTTAAAGAGTCAGGAGGACATCAATAACTACTAAGCTTGTACTATTTTGAAACATATGATTAGAAGATATGATTGTTTCAAAAATAGCTTTGATAGGCCTACCTGATACACAGAAATGATTTTAACAAATGTACTGATATGCATTAAAACCATGTGTCTATACTGATAACTATACTACAGTTGTACCTCTGTATTTAATTATTTTTGCTGGGGAAATGAACTATGCTCAGGAAACTCAATTTCCTTAACAAGCAGAACTCTAAGGCACAGAACAGAGTAATTATAGTGTGTTCTGAATGTGTTCTTTCATTCTTTCTCATTTCTTATTTGCATTCTCAGTGCTCACTCTGTTTAGTTTACCTACACAAAGGTTCCTACAAAAATGTCATACTAGCTTTCACTAACTGTACAAGGTTTGCAAATGTCCTTACTGTACATAAACTCTTTAATTACAGTACAACTGCATTTATGTCACACTAGAGCTAGTTTATTTTTCATTTTGGAAGTACCATGGCAAAAATGTCCATAGATTTCATCTTAAAACTTTTTTGTATGAGATACTTTCTCAAAAGATAAATCAACATCAAAAGTGAGATTCTTTCTTACAGTAACATAATGTACATTTGTTAACTAAATATTATGTATTTGACAAAACAGGTTTGCTGTAAAGCAATACAATTAATTTTTTTCTTTATTACAAAGGTACTCTACAGTTCATTACTGTACACAAATAAAAAGCATTCAATGTTCAAGACTGATGTTCATGTTGTTGATGTTTTGGTATAAACAGTGTAAAGAATACAATATATTAAAATGCTTGATGTTTTATATAATATGTGACATCTGTATTTAGTGCAGCTGTTTTACCCATTTAAAAAAAACATCCTGACTTGGCTGAAACCACAGATGAGTATTTCACCCATCTAGAAACACCTCCAATCACACTGTGAGTGGAACTGAAGCAGCAGGGCTAGAACTGAGTGTTCACAGGTGTGTGCCTGTATTGCACTGTGTGAACACAGTAAACTGAATGTGGCATTGAATCCCCAGTACAGTATAGTATATACAGTACAGTCATTGAGCTGGACCACATGGGTGAATCAATTTCTTCTGCAAAATGTTCCATTACAAAAATGCTTTACCCAGTAATTTTCCAGACTTTGCCCCACATTGACATATTCTGCATTCCACTGGTTCCCTGTGCTGTTTGAGTGTGACCAAATCACTGTCTTGGAACCATCTCTTTTTTGGACAATTACTCTGAGGTTTCCCACATCCCTTCCATACAGGTGGAAATGAAAGCTGCAAAATCAAGAAAAAACAACCTTGTGAAATTACAGAATTTACCAAACATTTTTAAGTGTAGCAGATATCTTCTTATACAAATACTTTTGGTAGAATTTCGGCAAACTGAAAGGGCAAGGACAAACAAATAGTCCTTTGCCAATACACCATACATAAAACCAAAGAAACAGGATGGATTGCTGGATGTTTGCAGAATGTAAAATATCAATGTTGCTGATAAAAGCCAAGTATAGAAGTTTCCCAAATAAAATTAATTAAACTTTTAATAATGCTTTTCTGTTTTAGAAAAAAAAACTATGCTTTTCCAGGTTGTCAATTCTTCAAAGACTTTTGAATCTTTTGAATAAAGGTTTAGCACCATAACAAGGGCCATTTCACAGCTATCTTTATTTCAAGGGTCTCTAGCCTCAAAGGGCTGTAGTGGTTTATGGTGCTCTATTCGAAAGAAATTTCAAGGTTAATTGCATTCTGTACCATGGATAATTGCTCATAAAAATCCAATTATCTATTAAGAAGTGCTCTCATCTATAATAGTATAATTATTTATGAACACCTTAGTCAACATGCATTAGCAAAGATATTGAAGAGATTATACATAAAAAGCTCTTAGAGTTATTGTTATTAGTTCTCTTATTAGTTATTAGTTATTAGTTTTAGTTTTATATGTGATTTTTATCTTCAATTATGTCATATGTGATGCATGGGTAACTAGACAACTTACAAGTGAAATTAAGAACTTTCATTATAAAATCCATCCATTTTCTAACTGTTTCTTCCAATTTAAGATCGCAGGGGAACTGGAGCCTATCCCCTAAGCAATGGGCACAAGGCAGGGTACAGCCTGGACAGGACGCCAGTCTGCCATAAGGCAGACAAACTCAAACACAGACACATGGCATACACTCACACCAGGGCCAATTTCCCCAGAAGCCAATATGTGTTTGAACACTGATTGAACCTCCAGTATGTGTTTGAACTGTGGCATGAAACTGGAGGACCCAGAGGAAACTCGGGCAAACACAGGGAGAAGGTACAAACTCTATGCAGATAGCACCCCAAGTTTGGAACTGAACCCAAGGCCCAAGCATGGTGATGCTAGCCACCGTGCTACCATGCCACCCTTCATTATAAAATAAAAACTTATATTAATCTTTGATTTAAAATTTAAATAAATTTGCTAGAGGGAGAAGCAGAAGTGATAGTGGGTTTGTGATAAATGCACTCTTGGTCTCGCTCTTGGTCACATTAAAAAAAATGTAAGAATGAAGGAACATTAAAATCAGTTTTTCAATGTGAATGAGCCCCTCACCAGTCCAAGCTTTTATTTACTTACAGAATTTGGCAGTATTGGGATGACGGAGGAAGAAGTGGGCTTCTTAGTATAGCCTCGGTTGAATATTGCCCTCTCCCAAACTGCACATACATGTAGTAACCTCGATTGAATGTAAAAAATATTAAATATAAAAGGATGAAATTAAAATCTCATTCCTGTAATTTTGGAAATCTCAGGTAATTATATATGTGAAAAACATGCTAGTAATATGTTTAAAACACAGTTGTGATCACAAATGGTGGGAGTTTTGTTATTACAAAACTATGAGAGTTTGTTTTTTCAAACAGACTCTACTATCAGTTATATCAGAGGATGTGATGAAATGTATATATATATACAGGACCTAACTTGATAAATCTTAATTATATGCACTGCCTTCTCTTTAGAGTCTAAAATGGTTTGGACAGATGCTGACAGATGGAAAATCTATCTTCCACTCTGAGTTAACTTCATGTTCTATTCATAACCCAGGTCAGTCAGGTCTGTTTTTTAGGTGATTTTTTGTTGTTTTAAAAGTATTTCAGGGCTCTTCCAACTGTATGGAATTTTGTTTTATGCAAGATTTATGCACTTGCTCCTGGTAGACAGAAACGAGCTAAATAATAAAAGTGAAGTGCTGTAATGTATTTCAGATACATGGTTTTGTTTCAATCACAGATATCTCTGTGTATTTTGGCTTTTATTTTTAAACAATAAAACAACAGGCCAACATTGCCATAAGCACATTACAATAACAATAAACCATCATAACTATTGCTCATAATCACCGAATATTATTTAAAACAATTACAAGAATAAGCCTGGATAGTTACAGGGGTTCTTATAAGAACATTAGTATTTAAACAACAAACATATTTAACAATATGTTGTTATGTTATGTTTATACAGTACATATATGTTGATTCCTTACTGGAAATATTTCTTATTTGCAGATACAGTATCTGAACAGTAATTTCCACTACACCTCATTTCCAAATAATGTAAATGTACTGTAGGATACGCATAAAAGAACTGTATGGGTAAAAGCTGTATTAATGAAAAAGGCTTGCTTTCACAGTACACAGCACAAACATGATATGATACACAAAGTAAACATATCTCCAAAGGTAAAACAAGGGATCGGAAATCAGATGAATCTGTTTTGAAATCATGTGGTTATAGGTTTGTACCTTTGCCTGTTGTATGGTCAGTACTAGGCCCATCCAAACCTTGTTCTGTCACTTGACCTGCCTTCTGCCTCTTCCATTCATAGTGTCCTGAGCTGATATCCTCCCAGTAGCATTGCCCACTTTCAAATGTGCATGGACCTGCTTGTTTAAAGGTTTTCTTGTTTAAATATTACACATAAATCACACTAGTACATGTAAATATTGCAATTCAGAATTGAAAGTATCGATTTCTAGATTTAATGCTATAGTATCTGTCTTTTGCATTTTATTATTTTCACGAAATGTTAATTACATCAGTTGGTGTTTTCACACAGTTATTCTGTAATTACTTTTATATACTAACCACACACTTTGAAAACCCTTTAAGCATACTTTCATTCTTTTGAAATTCTAAAAATAATGCCATATAGTGAGCCCGCTGAATACCATGAAAAAATCCATCTAAGCATAAAACACTGAACAATCAACAGAACAAATTGAAAAAACATTATATGCTATTAGGTTTGTACTTGTATTCTGCCCTACAAGCCCGTTTTCCTACAGACTCTAAAGCTTTATACAGTCAGAACTACTGTACCACAGTAAAATGTCATAGACCTGAACTCAGTTTCTTAGAATTAATCAAGGTTTAAAGTGTAACAGTGAAATTGGGGTTATGGAATTAGCAGTATTGTGCATGAAATATGAAATGAAAATATATGTGATTTGAAATTGAATTAGTAATGTTAAAAAGATAGTTAGATCTACAATACTATGTGAAATCCTCACAGAGATAAATAGACTTACGCTATGTACAGTAAAATGACAGAGAAACATACAATCTGCAATATTATATTCACACCATATACAAAAGTAAATTATCTAATTATTAGATAATTTCTAATATATATTTCTAATATAATAATTATTTTGGTTATACACATTTGTATTACCCTGATGCTAGAATTCTATACACACAATAGGAGACACTCACAAATAATGAAAAAGTGCAATATGCATAGATTATATATTGTATGCCCTTCCCATTGTAAGAACATTGGGAGGACACAAAACTCTGAAAATAGTTTGGAGAGATGTGTTCCCAGGAATATTTCTTCAACTAAGAATACAGTGCATTTTTTATTTCTAAAGAAATTAAAAATGTAACAATGAATGTCAATGAATTACTGTAGTGCACATTGTGTAACAGTGGGACTAACTTCTTTTAGTTAAAATCAAATTGTGTACAAAATAAACTCAGCAGGCCAATAATCTCTAGATATTCATGTAGGTAGCTGTGTCAGCATGCATAGGCTTCAAAGGAACAGGTAATGGGTTTATTTAATGCTGAAAAGAAAAGAAAGGAAACACAACGTTTTGGCTGTGGAGCCTTCTTCAGGTGTGAGAAAGACAGGGTAGACGGCAAAGATTAAATAGCACAGGAGAACAAAAGCTGGAAAAGTGGAGAAGGAGGCAGAGGGGAGAGGCAGAGAGGCCACTCAGGAAGTGCAAAGTGAAGACGAATAGAGAAAGGTGTGAAGTAAAAACCTTCAGGAGAATAGAGAAGATAATACCAAAATAAGTCATCATTGAGAGAAGGGGGAAGGTGTGAACCTAGTTTCAGGATGAGTTCCATTTCTTTTGTCTTTCTGCTGTGGGAGTTGAGAAACCCTTTTTTGAGAACAGAGACAGAGAGATCAGTGTGTTCATGGCCATCTGAGGTGAAATGAGAAACTATGGGCTTGGAGAAATCTTTCATCTTCACAGCACTAACATGTTCTTTGTTCTCAAAGAAGGGTTTCTCCACTTCCACAACAGAAAGACACGAAACTCATCCTGAAACTTGGTTCACACCTTCCCCCTTCTCTCAATGACAGACTTATTTTGGTATAATCTCTATTCTCATGCAGGTTTTGACTTCACACCTTTCTCCACCCGTCTTCACTTTGCACTTCCCTAGTGGCCTCTCTGCCTCTTCCTCCACTTTTCCAGCTTTTGTTCTTCTGTACTATTTAATCTTTGCCGTCTACCCTCTTTCTCACACCTGAAGAAGGCTCCACAGCCGAAACGTTGTGTTTCCTTTCTTTTCTTTTCAGCATGGAATAAACCCGTTACCTGTTCCTTTGCATCTCTAGAGATTTTGTGAAATGAACAAGATTCATTTGGAATCTGACACAAGTACCGTTTGACATGGATGAATCTTATTTCTGATTACAATTAATTCATAATTACAGCAGACAAGCAGCTGTAAATTTGCAGCATGCAGAAGGGCAGGATTTTATAAACAGCTCACCACACAGCTCCTCATCTTCTCCCATAGGACAGTCCACAATGTAATCACAGTAGGAATGCATCGGAATGCAAATAAAGGTGTCAGACCTTCTGCAGAAGAACTGGTCGACCTTAAAAAATGAAAATTACTTTTAAAAGTGTAGTATCAAGGAAAAAACAAATGACGTATTTCTGTATAAAAAGCTTAACTCTTTGTAACTAAATATTTAACACCACTCCGCACAAACAAAACAACATATTTCAATAAGAATATTGTAGGATCCCTTTTTAATACATTTTCAGATTCAGTTACTTGACTCTGGCCATATGCCATATTGGAGCACTACCATGTAACTTTATGTGAAACACATTATTAGGCTGCATTAGGTCATTTACAGCAAATATCAAATACAATTCTGCCTTGCTAAATTCTTCAGAGGATTCCTTTTTTGAAACAGCAGATTGATCTGTGTATGCTAAAGAGTCTCATACAGGCATTCACATACTGAAATATGACAGGATCAATATCATGCTGTTGATAAATTAGGAATGTAAGGCTCAAATTAAACAAGTTAAAAGCCAAAATAAAGTAAGTTCTATATTAAAAACCATTAGTAAACAGCTACAGTATGTATAGTTCAAAGCCTAGTCAAAGTTAAAAAATAACAATATATCCCATTGCTGACCAAACAAATGTACACAGTTGTGTTCCAACAGTTTTCACACTCTTCCAATTATGTCCCATTTTGAATTACATATAATATATTCACATTTGTAAAGTGAATACTTAAATTAAAACTTGAGTACTCAAACAGAACGTTTTTATCTGTGCAAGAAGTTAAATATCATTTTAAACTGCAATGCAAAATAAAACAAACCAACATAAAATATGTTCTGGAAGTATTTACCGCCTTGTGGAACAGTGGATATTTTTTACTAGTCACCCCCATGAAAAGAGATACTCACTGAGCAGGGACTGGGAGCTGTAGAGGGCACTGCTGTTGGTGGAGGGCTGTAGGGGAGCTCACTGTTGTTAACATCATGAGCACATTGTAGTGAGAAAGAAATGTCATCCAGTGCCACCTGTGCTCCTACACCTGGACCATGGATGTACTCAAAAACAACCTATAAGAACCATTGAGACTTCAGTGGTAGAGTAAAATATAATGTATCATTTACATAGCAAAAGCAAAGGAGGAAAAAGTCTCCCCTTTTCACTATATCCTGAATGGCAAGATTAATAAGGAAACATTGCTGTGAAATAGAATCCACCTGTTCTTGCCAGCTTAAGCTTTTTAGTTATAGATACATTTATTAAACAGTCTTCCAGTGATCTTCCAGAAACGTGAGCCTCTCATATATCACATTAATCAAAATACAGTGCGTTTTATAACTATAAAGATCTGTAAGCTTAAAGTTAGACCATGCTACTGCAACATCATCACCTGGAACTAGGTGAACACCTTTAGCCAAAATGTACCTCACAGTGAGGTAAGATGGTTCCTTTCTTTAAAAAGTGTATAAATCATAAAAATACAGAGAAAGGAACAGTATATTCCACCAATAAACAGTGCATGCCACATCTCTATTGTTATTTCCGTACCTTGTATTTTATAGAGCTGGAAAAGGTAACCTCCACCCTTTCCCAGTAGAATCCGACTTCCTGATCTCTGACCCACAGACCGATGTCACCTTCTCCACTAGAGAAGCTCCGAAGCTTGACAGACAGCTGCCCTACTCCCTCCCCTTGCATGTAGTAATAGAATCGTACCTGGTAGAGAAAAACAATTTCACAGCACACATGGATCAATACATGGATGAAAACAGCTGGTAAGTGTTATGTTTCATCACTAACATATAAGACACAATTTATTCTTAAATAAGTGTTACATGTATTTTTATATTAACATAATAGATCATTAAAATCATTTTAGAGCTCAATTAACTGAATTATGAGTGAACCTTGCATGGAAAAAACTGATTTTCTGATGTACAAAACATACAAACAGTTTCCCTAGTGTCACAGTATAAGAGGAAAAGGTATGCCAGGTGCCAGGGAACCTTCCAGCATTTCCAGTGTGCTTAATATGAAGACCACATTGTACCAGCAAGGCTAAGACTATGGTTGGAATTGCTTTTTAGAAAAACAATATTGTTGTTGTTATCCATAATAATCATCACCATCATTTTCCTCTTGCCTTGAACTCTTAAGATCTCATCTTATCTCTTTACATCTGTTGTAGAGATGGGATAAATCAGACCAGCATAAACTGGGTCTATTGTGAAACCTAGAGTGACGAAATGCCAAAAACAATACCCTTCAGTCTGAAGCTCCAAGAGGGAGCCACATCTGGACTCAGATAACAGCTGGAGGTCTCCTGCCATAAATTCACTGACAGGGCTAGAGTGATAATTAAGAAATACTCATAAAAAGGTACTGATTGCAATACCATTGTACTTGTAGACTAAGTTTAATTTAAGCAGGTAAAAAAGGAAGGAAAATCAAAACTTTACCTTACCCACTAATAAGAAACCTAGTAACTGATAATGGTTATTTTTGGTTTTGTAAAAGTGAGAAGCCTTTAAAATACATAAAGCCGCTGTTGAGAATAGGTTTTGTCATTTAGGTTTGCCAGATTTTGATTTAAACCAGCTTAAGGCATAACACAACAAATTACATTTTATGAAATCCAGTTTTAACCAAAAAAAATTACAGACATAAAACAGATTTTCATGACAGACCATGGCTGTTTGTGGCACCACAAACAGAAGAAACTTACAGTACAGGCTGGGGAGGGAAGGAAGGTCCCAGAAAAAATTTCTGTAGAGTCTCCAGTGGTCACTTTTTGTCCATCAGCAATAATGTAATGACCTAAAATAAGACTTTTATTAATAAGTGAGTTAAGGAGTTGAAATAATATATGGTACTTCATCAATGCATTGCTAGCTGAGGGCAAAAGCTTGACAACTCTCCAGTTATCTTGAATTTAAAAGTGATTGTCTCAAGTTTTAAAAAGTTTGGGTGCCGTTTTAAATTGCCATGCACAAACAGCATCACTCTTTACTGTTCAGAAGATGAAACCCTGTATCCTTCTGTCTCTTTAAGAAAACTTTCTCTTTGGATCCCAAATCTATTATACTTTTCTCAACTTCATTTACAGGATCTATTGAATTCCAAAGGCCTGCTTGCCTGCAGCCGAGTTCTTGGTGTGATCTCTAGGAGGCCCTGTGACACCTCCTCCAATCTGGCCTTCCTGGCGTTTCCACTCATAACCTGGAGTGTCCAGATCACTCTTCTCCCAAGAGCACAGCCCATTTTCAAAGCTGCAGTGCTCCTTATACCCAAGCAGCCCTGGGAAGGGGTTAAAGTCAACAGCATCAGTACATTCTCATTGTATTCATCAGCAAAGTAGATTATACATAAGATCCATAGACTATACCCATGTCTGCTTTTTTTGACGTGTGTTCTTGCAGTATGTTTAAACCCAAGGAACTGAATTTCAATTATTATGTTGAACCATTGTTTATAAATCATAATTTAGATATCAAAGATTTGACATCTGTTTCGGACTGACACAGCGTTGCTTGTGCTTTTGAAAGAATGCTTTGAATGAACTGTAACAGGCTCCTCATGTACACAATTAGATAATGAAGATAATGATGTGATGTGTGATGCTATTACCATTTTATTAATTGAACAGTGAAAGAACAAGAGCAGCTTTCTAATAGTAATAAAGCTTTCTTAGGTTACTACTCACTGGATGAACAACCAACTTAAAAGTTTAACTTTGCAGGATCTTACCACAGTCGATTTCATCACTTCTGTCACCACAGTCATCACTGAAATCACATATCTTGCCCATATCAATGCAGACTAAATTTGAACATTGAAATTCGTCTCCTGGGCAAGTGGCTTGTGAATCTACAATGTAGAATGAGATATGCAAGTGTCAAGACTTCCAAAAGCCTATGTCATGCAACAAGCATTATTTAGTTGTACATAATTAAAACAAGACTGTAGGTTAAGACAAGATGGCTGTTCATTTTTTTAAATACATTTAAAAAAAGATCCTCTGCTTTCTAAGATGTATACCGAGTTAGTCTTGTGCATCAGGGGTTAAAGGGAGCAAGAAAGCAACTGACTGAAGAGACAATGAACACATTAAAAGTTTTTTTTGGGAAAGAATGTTAAAGCCAGTTTAGCTGCCCAGCTTGATAGGGTACTATATGTAAAAAGCTAAGTTACAGTACAGCTCAAATAAGAGGACAAATTTTGTTTTGGTGTTTTCTCCATTGTGTTTTATGATTATAAATAAAAGTGCATTGTTTTTTACCTTAAAACTTTGTGTATGAATGTTTTTTTTTTCTGAGGGCTGCCTATAGATACCTTTACATGTGGGTGGCAGAGGTAGGCAGACAGAGAAAGGTCCTCTTGAAACTGAACTGTCCTAAGAAAACTTACCTTTTAGAGGGCAGTTCTGGAAGGAAATGTCATCAATGGCAATATCCCCAAAGGTACTGTAGCTCCTGGTGGCCTCAAAAATAATATGGAAGATCCGAGGAATGCGTCCAATTCCCACAACTGCCCTCCTCCACCTGTTACCTTTGTTACCAGACAACGTCCACAGCAGTGTGTCACGGGAGTCTTCACGCAAGAAGACACTCAGGTCTCCAATGCCTTATGAGAGAATCCACATCTCCAGTTATAATTCACAGCCATTCACAGTATAATCACGGCAGTCATGCCTTCTTAAGCATTGACAAGTGCCACAACTCTTTAAATTTCACAATGTTTCTTATACCACACTCTTCTATATACTTACCACTCATCACTCATGTGTTTGAATAACACAGGGCATTAGAGTTCAATTCCTAAGTTAGAATTCAAAAGTTAGAAATTAAAAGTTCTGGCAATAATAAAACAGTTGGAACAGCATTTAATACAAGAACTTGCATGAAGATGTTGTGAGATGAAGACACCTGGCTTTTGTTCAATATATATATTGTACTGCATTGTGATAGATCCTTTTTATATCAAGGATTTTATCTCATTGTTCCTTTCCTATTAACTAGTAATAAGAAATGAAGCTAATTGCCAAGCAGTTAAAGCAACCAATACGGTACTAAATAGTAAAGAGGAGTCATCCAGTAAAAGTACCTGGCTGGACTAACTGCATTATTTAAATTACATTATCAAAACCAGGGTGTAATTCACAGGATGTTTTTAGACAGCACACAGTTCATTTCCAAACAGATCTTCTTACCAGCTCCATACATGTGATAGTAGAATTCCATGAGGCATTCAGTGCTAGCTTGCTTCATACCAGGGCTTTGTAGAACTGCATAGCTATTCCTGTCACCTCTGTCAGCTTCCACAGCCATATACCATCCTGAAAGAGTACAGATAAGTAAACATGGGGAAAGGAAATAGCTAATTTAGTTCTAGTAAAGGAGATTATTACAAGACAAACTGTAAATATTGCACAATATTTACATTTTTTCTTTTTCATTTTAATAAGAATGTTTTTCTTATTAATACTATACCTGATTAGTGAATCGTTATGAATTCACTGGCCTTAATGTCACTTGTACCAGCTGGTCTTCTAAAGTAGCACTGTTTGAAATCTGTTTGTTAGAAACAAAATCCCCCGTCACGTTTTGTCTTACAAATTCTTACCCAGCTCCGTTCCTGTGGTGTGATCACTTGAGGGCCCTGTGTTTTCTGTAGCTGTCCCATTACGGTCCCTTTGCCACACAAACTGCCCCTGGCTGAAATCTTCCCACTGGCAACTGCCTGCCTCAAAATCACAGCCTACAAATTCTTCAACAACGGAGCTGCCTGCAATAGAATGTCAATAATGTTTCACAATCAGTCAATCTCATACAACATAATATTGATAGTCTAAAATGGACAAATAATTCCTGATGCACAAATATGTACAGGAATATATATACTTACATACAGTCCAAAAATTTGAAAAAAAACTACAGTTTGCTTGCATTTGGATTTAAAAATGTGAAAACATTTTAGCTCAGTATTTAACATTATAGAGTGAGCAGAGTATCTATGATTTGTCTAGTATATCATGGTATTCAGTTATTTATCATAGGAAAGCACACTGAAAGAAATATTGTGTATTTGTACAATTATACAGTACTATAAAATGTTAATAACATAATGCATACTGTATCATGTTAAACAATAGTACTCTGGTAGTACTAGTGAATAGTAACTATGGTAAAAGCAGTTTGAAAAAAGCTAACACACTTTGGAATCTTTACATGGCTAAGCTCTAAGGCCTGTTTGTCTACTGTATAAAGAAATGTAATCACAAAGTGCAGTTTGCGTAATCTGAGGCTCTAGTGTTCATCCATCACCTTTGCAGCCCTATCGTGCATTTTCAGGTCAATATACTGTACACTGAAAATTCCATTGAAACCTACAGATTAGCTGTGCAGCTTTATTGTAACTATGGTGAAGTGTTTTGCTTTAAAAATACTACATTGAGTTAATCATGTTGCAGGAACAAGGCCTATTATTTTATTTAGCATTAAGTGTTATTAAAGATTTGTAATCTGTGCCTCTAACAAGCATCCTGTTGCCTTACTGTATAAGGCACAATAGGGTAGCTGAAGAGGCCTCCCATTGTGGTCTGAATTACAAAATGAGTACTGGTCTGTGCAGGTGGGAAAGTAAGGAAGGTGAGTTTGTCTTCTGGGCAACGATCCTTCCCACTACAGAGATCCTACGAGTTTAAACTCCCATAATGGATGCCAGCAAGATGTCTAGCAGAGAGCCATATGCACATCTGGACATTATCTTAAATTCCCTGGACATGGTCAATCACTCAAAGAAAGACCCACCATTAAGTGATCAGCATTTTGGTCACCACAACAATACCTGATAGCATCTCATCCAATCACCAACTTGTGAAATTGTACCTTAAAAGCAAGAACCCAACTAATTTTTTGCTAGTTAAGTCACCGACGATCTCAATCTTTCCAACTGAACTTGCAAACTGACTTTCCCAACCATGTATCTGCAAACAGTCTAAGTTAGGATTAAACGTTTCTCCAAGATGCCATGCCAAGAGAGTGCATCAGTGAAGTACAGAATTCTGTCCAACATGTTCTTCCTGAAACAGAAGAAATCTTGTATTCCTAAACCCACTGTTATTTCCACCTGATCAACAAAATTAGACAGTTGGATTCTTGCTTTCTGTTGAAGAATATCCAAATATATTCTGAACAAAGCTGTAGCCAGAACAAACCAAGTTTTTGTCTACCTTGCTACCGGACGGAAGTTCAGCAGCATGCTAATATTAGCTGAGCCCTAACGCAAGACTTTCTCTTGCTCCTCTCTCTGCACCGAAACTGTCCTAGCACAGAACAGTGCAAGTTGGATCATGCCCAGCTCTGTCTTACCAGCGAGAAGTTTAAGCGAGAAGTTTAACTCTTTTAGGATAAAAAAAATAGCTCTTACCCCCACAAACTCCTGATGACACTTCTACATCATCAATAGCTATAAATCCTCTGCCTCCAGACTCTGCTTCAATCAGCACCTGTCAAAGCAAAACACTGGTGACACTGCACACAGTATCTCCTGGTTTTTAACTTTACACAGCGGATCCAAAGAAAGATATTGAAAATGCTATGGTCATAATTTCAATTGGACGTTGAGGTGTTCACACCATCATAAACCTAGCTTATCTGATGTACTTTGTGAAGTGGGAAATAAACAGAAGGTCCACAGCTGAATACTGGAGACAAAGTTTCACAAATGAAATACTGACTGTAAATAGAGCCATTTCATTTTTTAAAAGAAATTAATGAAGTGCTACAAATGGTTGTTTTCAGTTTTGGATGTTGGGGAAGGAGATGTCTCAAATATCTTTTGCGGCTAACCCACAACCAACCTCTTGTTGTGTAGTTTACATGACTGTAACGAAGGTTAGGAGACTACAACCACACCTCTGAATATAAACAAATAATGGCAAATTAATTACAAATTAAAAAAGGAACATTTCAAAGTCTTGAAATAACAACTGTTTCCATGAGCAAACATTCATTGAGTTCAAACAATGAACTTACAATCAAGGGGAGGCTATTTAGCCAGGGTAGTTATTAGCTAATTGATCTAAGTATTGTATTTCAGTTAGCCATTTCTTGAAAACAACAACAACAACAACAGTGCCAGGATTGGATTCTAATCCACAATTCTGTTTGGTTTTCCCTACATTTTGTTTTTTTTTTCCCATTACTCCAGCTCAATTTAAAAGGCATAACAAAAGCATTTAGTTTGTTATCTTAGAGCAAAGATGCATAATAGCATTGTCATCCAAGACTTATCTATGCTGGTACTATTTACTGCATCCTCAGGCTGACCTTACTGAGCAATTTAAATACTTAAATGTGCCATGCTTAATGTGGTAAATTAACTCTGGAAATTAATATAAGTAATTTATTCTACAAAAGTGGAATATTTTATATATAAAAAAATAATTCTTCAATTTTTTTTAAATGGGTGTGACCTCCAGGATATGTTTTTACAACATCACAAACTTAAACATACTGTATAATGCATAAAACAAAGCACAACAACATAAAATGAAGTAATAACTATCACCTTCAATTGTAATACTGAGATTAAAGACCACCAGAGAAGGAGGCAACCTTATTGACTCAATTGGTAAAGGTGCAAAAACAAGTGCAGCTGAACTCTGTGATCATGGTCTCAAGCCTGGTCCATGTCACTGGACAACTGTGACCAGGATTCCTCTACTGGCAATGCATAATCTGTTGAGCACCACTGACAGGAGAGTGGAATAAGTTAGACAGGGCTTTCTTGGTTCTCACAGTGTGTGACTCAAGACATGAGCACACAACTGGATATTCCAAATTGTCTGAGTATAGCAACAATTATTCTCTACTCTAAATTTGAAAAAATGCCATGTTGCAGCCACAGTAGCCTTCGTCAGGCAGTATTACAAGTTTCACAATATGTCATTGAATAATTGAACATCTGTACTCACTTTATTATTTCCTCATTATAAATCAAGCCTTTTTTCGTTACTCATAAACTTTACACATAGTACTGAAACCTAAAATATGCATCTAACAAGTATCATTAATATTAAAAATAATGTGCTTCACGAATTAAAGTCCTAAAATGAAAATATCAGAACAACTCTCTATACCAGCTGTCTTTGATCATTGTAAGTAAATGGTGCAATCCAGCAACAGCAGATATTTACTGTATGAATAGTAAGAAAATCATCCTACCTGGAATCTCTTTGGCCCTATGACAGTGTCTGTAAAATTTTTCCAAGTGTTGCCACTTTCCTTTATCTCAAAGAGCAAGTCTTTATGTGTGGCACTTGTCTGCAGATACACCAGCAAAGACCCAGAGTCCCTAAAGAAATAATGGTCAGATATTGTTCAGCATAATGGAAAAATATCAAAATTTGGCTTTTATGAGGTAGTATCAGTAAATTAAAGGATAAAAATCAAAAGTATTGATGCAGAATGAAATCTGCCTCAAACCTATAAGTAATTTAATTGTAACTGTAATTGTTTTAATTGTTGTTTTGACCATTTTAAACATACATTTTTTGGACTGTAAGCAAACTAAATTTCTCTGCTTAATTTAATTTACCTGCCACTCATGTGATACCAGAGAGTGAAGCAGCTGATCCCACTATCCTGGAAGTGCTCTGAAATGAGAAGAGCTCTGTCTCCTGGAGCACTGTGTTGGGTTTCACACAGCAAGTACCTCCCTGAAAGATAGAGAGTCCATCTTCAGATAGCAAGAGTGGGATGAAATGCATATTTTTCCTAGTGCCTGTATATATTAAAGTATTATGCTTAGGTGAAGTAAACCAAACCAACCTCATAGAAATTAAAAAAGTAAATTTTCACTCATCTTAGTTTCTAAATTGACACCAGAAATTTAATTTAATCAGACAATTCCTGGTTTAACATAGCTGAATAGGAACAATATTGTCCAATATTGAACACATATTGTATGCCTCCTTCCTTAAAGAACTCTTGTCTACTGTTGCTAGGTAATCTACAGTACAGTTCAGTAGTACAGTAGTGTTTTTAATATTCAAGGCACACAAAATCCCTAAATTTAAAAAAACTTTTTTTAAGAACATTATGCAGAATCAAATATTACTGCTGTCTCAGAAAATTTAGTTTGAATTTGAAAGAGTAAGAGGAAATTCATTTTGTAGTAGATGATTGTACTCTGGTACTGTACAAATTTAATGATTTCTTCTTCACTTTTGATATTATTCTAAACTGCAAACATGCTGATGACATATCTTTTTAAACTAACCTTTCTTATTAGATGAAGACCTATAAAGTCTTCCTTTAATTTAATAAAAGAACTAGAATGTGTTATTATTAAAAAAAAACTCTCCTATACATTAATCTTACCATCTGCTGTTTGGGTAGTGTGGTCAACACTGGGGCCAACTATCGACAACTGATCATTAGCATGAATCCAATCAAATTGGTCTCCTTGGGAGTTCAGCCATGTGCACTGACTTGATTCAAAATCACAGCTTCCTGTGTGGGGACAGGCACCAGCAGTCAGAGTGACCTCGTCAATGGCCACAAAGCTGCCAGCAGCAGGATCTAGCTGTGCCTTAAATACAACCTGCATGGAAAATAAATGGTTTTATACTGTAGGACTGAAGACTATAAGTACACATGCAAATTTGACAGAACTTTCAATCACTGAATTATTTTTCTGTATCATTTTGTTTATTTTTTAAATATTTTGAACTATCCATAAGCATATATGGAGTCTTAGCATTAAAAGGCACACATGATTTCTTTCTACAAACGTCCGAAAACCCTGCTAAAGATAGGTTAGTTCCTTGTCAATTTATTTTTATTAAATTTAAGAATTAGTTCATTTTCAATGTAAAATTTAGAAGTGCGAATTATGTTTTATTATCAACAAATTGGAATCAGTTGTTTCTATAGGAATTGGCTGTCAGGAAAAACCCTTGGCTGACTCCAACTCACAGACAGACTATTACCCTAAGAGAACCCTGGCCAACCCTACTCCCAGCACGGATGAGTCCATTGTGAAGTACACTTCATGAATATTTGAATTTGAATGTGCTCATTGCTCTAGTTCACTAAGGACTGATTTTAAAATGTCAGTTACTCAATTGTACTGTACAGTATGAACTATTCCTACGCCTGGCTATTACATAAATGTACTACTCATGATTACTGACATGGTTCTCAACATGAAAAGGTAACAAAAATATTCAAGCCATATTAAAAATGTTTAGGTTACCTTGAAGTGTGTGGCCGTTGACACTGTGACTTGGGCCACCTCCCAGTAGTGAGACTTAGCTCCTGAAAGAGCCCACAGGGCCTCTCCCAGCTCACCATTCTCCATGGTGTGGATAGAGAAACTGTCATTGTGATCTGTGGTCAGCCAATACCTGTGTACACCATAGGAGAAAATCAGCTATTAACATTAACTCTTGACCACAAAACAACACTTGATTTAAACAAAAGTCCACAGCCATCTTTGTACACAGATTCTTAATATGACAAAGCCTTAATACAATGTTATTTAAAATTTAAAATCTTTGTGTATGACTTCTCTTCACATTACCCACAATATTCCCTTCTGTCTTCTATTATCTTATCAGTGGGAGACAAACAACTATTTCAGCTTCATAAAATGAACCAAATGGAAATGGTTTGTTTTATAGGGAAACAAAACATCTATTAAAATGAAAGAGACAGAAAACACAAAAAATTGGCATGTAAATTTGTAGGTACATAGTAAAGTAAAACGTAATTGCAAAACAAATCCATAAAAGGTTTTTCTAGTGCTCACTGGTAGCTTAAGCAGCAACAGTGTTCATTTGAAGCTAAGGTCAAGCATTATAGTTGTGACATCAGTGGATTAAGTGTGGTCTATGTCACAAGCAATCAGGATTGTAATTCTTAACCTGTGCATCAAATAAGCAGGCCTATATTTCCCAGGTGGCAGTGTTCAAATGGCGAAGCACAAGATCACCAGGGTAATCTCAGTTTGCTGAACAGCAACCATCTCTGTGACTTGCTGGCAGTTAGCTTCCAGACTCCTCCAATCAATGCTAATTTTCCTATAAGGCTCTGTTGGACTTCCAATAGGAAAATATGTCTCAGAGAAGTGCTTCAGTTAGAGAAAAACATGAACAGTCTCACTAGTACAATAGCTACCATGTTGGAAACCAACTGGTAATCCAAACAGGATGAGGAATGAAATTAACTACAATTTAGTTATTCACCCCACCCCCAGCACTGTTCTGACAAAAACACAAATAGATAGTGCTCAGATACACATTTAGATCTCTAAACAGATCGTATTTTATAAATAAGTTATTGTTTTTTGCCAACTGACCAGAACTGAACACAGGACTCCATTGTTGATGGGTATTCTGGAGTTAACAGGTGAGCAACTTTTCTTGTATCTTCTCCAAGCACTGTCATAAAGTGGCCTAAAAAACAGTGAGTACAAATACAGCAGGTTAAAGCTTGATAGTGCAAATTAACTGTAACCTAGTGATATAGTTGGCATTCTAGGTATAATACATTTGAATAGACACAATCTGTGCTGTTAATACTAAAACAATAACTTTTCAAGTTCCTTTGCAGTAGGAATGTAGATTATGCAGAAATGCAACATATGTAGATATGTAGACTCTTTATGCTATATTTTACATTTTCTGACTTTGCATCACCAGTAGATTTTCTAAAGTTTGCTATTTTTCATTTTAGCTGTCATTTTTTGTCATTTTATTTTCAAATTAAGTTTGAAAAAAATAATTATCTAAAGCTAGCATTTCTAATAGAAAATTGAGCATTAGGCAAAATTACTAGCTGCTTGAAGTAGGAAGAAAATAACCCATAAATGACCTTTTCTATGTTATTGTTGCTGCCATAAATCCAATTTGCAGAACTCACTGGTAGGGAATTTAATCTAAGCACTGGGATGTTCAGAGAAGTAAGTGTGAGTCACTAACCTAGCAGCCAAAGACCTGTTAAGTAAGTGAATTACAAATGGAATAGAAGATTGTAAAGAAATTTCGTTCAAGCATTAAAAATCCACCAAGTCAACCCTATGGACTTCCTCAGTATTTAACAGTAAAATTTAAACCACAGGACACAAGAGGAAAGTTGTGGCAGTGAATTTACAATGGAAAATGTATACGTAGTGTTGTAGGAATCTGGAAAAAAAATCAGCAGTCATGTTATGATAACTGATACGTTACTGTTCTTCAGGAAACAGCTGGATGAGATTCTCAGATTGCTTGGCTAAAACCAAACAAGTAGAGATGGGCCAAATGGTCTCCTATAATATGTTCTCTGATAATATATCACTCTGCAACTCACAACTGGCAACCCACTGAAGCTAAGCAGGTGTGAGCCTGGTCAGTACCTGAATGGGAAACCTCCTGGGAAAAACTAAAGTTGCTGCTGGAAGAGGTGTTAGTTGGGCCAGCTGGGGGCACTCACCCTGTGGTCCATGTGGGTCCTAATGCCCCAGTATAGTGATGGGGACACTATACTGTAAACAGGTGCCGTTCTTCGGATAAGACGTAAAACTGAGGTCCTGACTCTCTGTGGTCATTAAAAAGTGTTTCTCGAAAAGAGTAGGGGTATAACCCCGGCGTCCTGGCCACATTTCCCATTGGCCCTTACCGATCATGGCCTCTTAATAATCCCCATCTATGAATTGGCTTCATTACTCTACTCTCCTCCCCACTGATATCTGATGTGTGGTGAGTGTTCTGGTGCACTATGGCTGCCGTCACATCATCCAGGTGGATGCTGCACATTGGTGGTAGTGGAGGGGAGTCCCCATTACCTGTAAAGCTCTTGTAGTGGAGTGTCCAGAGAAACGCTATATAAGTGTAAGCAATTCTTATTATTTTATTTTTTCGATAAGCTATAAATTTGATGAAGAATACAAGGTTGAATCTCAAAAAAGTATGTATAACAATTTTAGTTCTACCAACATAGTTAAGATTTTTAAGTTAACACCCATTTGTATTTAAAGCTGTGGAACGTCAATTACATTATCACTTAAAAAATTACATTATCATTAAAAAAAAACAACTGACATTCATTTTACAGAACTGAAATGCAAACCTAAGTGTAGTCCAAATCAATGCCAAAAGAAATTTCTGACTCACTTATGGATATCTGAATTAGATTTCAAGCTTAAATGATGCCATAGTTATAAATTACACTGTACTAACGTATACTAGAGTACATTTTGTCTTGTGGACTTGTTTGTTCCTTAAATAACTAAAAGGGAGCGAACAATTGACCAGAGTGCAAACACTAGTTTGATGCATAAAACTCCAATATATTAGCTGACAAAGAAGATAAACGTCAAAATCAGACAGTAAAAAAATAACAAATACTGTAGCTAGCAGAGGGAGTCAGCACAGCCTCACACAGTCCAGCATATTTACCATGCTTTGTTCTGTAAGTCTGATCAATCTGTGGTCCATAGTCCAGGCCATTTGTGTGAGCCCAGTCAGCAGTTTCTGTGACATCCTGCTCATAACCACACACTGAAGGACTCTCAAAGCCACAGGTACCTACAGTAAACACACACTATATCAACAACTGAACGAACAGATTGACACTTCTGAAAAAGGGACCTCTACAACAAGAAGGTATAATGAAAATACTTTTCATACTGATCATAGACCAGAAATGTTTAAAAATAATTAATAAAAAAGGCAGGAAACCCTATCATTGTACCAGTACCTCTGATGCCACAAATCTTCAGATGGTAAAATGTTTGTCAATCAATATCCAAACAATAATTAAGTCCAGAAAACATTTGTGTTTAACAATAACAATTACAGAAGTTATAACCACAGGACATTATCCATGCTGAAAATCACTGTTATTTGATGTGTATTGTTCCCATTCATAAGGGGTAGAAATACTTTTGGTGTGCAATGAATGTATGTACCTAATCTACTTGTACAATATTTAAACAAATTAAAAACAGTGGAAAAAATGTATTCTGAATAAGATTTATTCTGAAAACTAAACCATTTTTGTACTTACCGTGATATGTGCAGACTCCAGCCCTCATAGTGATGTCATCAATGGCAATGAATCCCTGGCCTAAACGATTCCTCTTCCCAGCAAACTGTACCTGCAGATATGTACACAAACAACTCTTTTCTTCCCTTTTTAAATCTTTCTAAACAAGCATCAAGGATTACTTTCTCACCTGACATATCTTGAGAATATATACTGAGGAGCTTTAAAACATAGCACATACTACACGTTTCATTATGTATATGTTGCATATACTGGTTTGTTGCATGTTTCTCAGTATATAAAACGTAATCAGAGAATCATTTATTTCACTCGGTTTTCATTAAGGTTGTAGATTTGAGAGCTTGAGCTGAAAAGTCCGATACATACATTAAAAGAGTATGTATCAATGAAAGATGGGTCAGCTTACCCTGTATGATCCCTTCATTCTGACAGTTATGTGAGCATCCAGCCATACTGCATTCTGTGTGCCTCTTCTTGACCACACAACTGTCTCTGGAGATGAATTCTGGAAGCAAACGATATAGCTTCAAATGTTTACTGACCTAAAGGTTATTAGATTCTTATCGTACTCTGTGTCACTTTAAATGTAATACCCAGATAGCTTGTTTTTCTTCAGCATCACTCAAGTGCTACATTAATTTTCATTTAATGTTGTTTCATTTACTCCATGTAAGCAAGCATTTATTGCTGGTGTTCTGTATGATTGTATGGTGTTTACACACAGTACATGTAAGTTGAATGATCGTTCACGGCATTGCACACTGGACATGTAGAAGAAGAACATCACTTTATTAGCCATATACAATTTCTTGCATTAGAAATTTGTATTTCCGCATACCCCAGCTTGCTCTCCATGAGACACACAGACACACAAACGGAGAGAGAGAAGCTGGGGGTCAGACATTTATATGGCGCCTCAGAGCCACCGCACCACCCCTAACAATGTATGGGGAATGTTTTACCAAAGCATTATTATACATGTATATTTGACTATGTAAGTGTACATACAAAGTTTTCTTGTGTGAAAGGTGATAGTTTGACAGCAACAGGTCATTTTAGCATTTATTTTTCTAGGACAGTTTGCAATGCCTCAAAAGGGATATGACAATGATCTGTTATGCAGAACACTTGAAACATATCTAAATATAATCTGATTTGATAAATCATATCTCATCACTGCAAGTATAATTCTGCTGTCGACTAAAGAAAAGTCTTCACACAATTAAACAGTTCCATTAACATGTCTCCTGTTCAATTCTGTAAATAAGTGTGCAGTTCATGTAAGCCTGCTGTGTTGGATATGAAATTACATACAGAGACTTCCAATAAACTAATCATACACACTAATAGAGTTGCACACTCTAACCTCTTTCCTTTTTGATGGCTATCTATGATACAAAGAAAATGCAAAAACACACGTACTGTTTGCAGTAGGACATCCAGGGTTGACACCGATGATCCAAGCATATAATACCAGAAACTTACACACAATTCAGTGGTCTCTGATATCACAGGACTAGAGATTACTGCAGTTTCTTCATCCGCAATACCAGAACCCATGATTATTAAATAAAACCCTGTAGGTAAGCAAAGACATACTGAGTATTTAATAAGAAAAGCACAAGTGTTGTATCTGTATAACTGTACATTTAAAAAACACAACTTTAATTAATGCAAGAACAGTGACAGAATCACTCCTCAATCATGACGTGACATTCATGGATTTAGTAAGGAAGTGCTGCATCACCAAATTGCCATCGATATGACCGAAGGCAGTACATCTGAGAGAGACATTGCTCAGATAATATAAATACTCTGCTTTAACAACCAAAAGACTGGTACAGAGAAACCAGAAAACTGGTCTGGGAGAGATAGGCTAAGTCTTTGAATGGGTTCATCACAATACAGCCTTAAACATTTCAGGAAGCAATAACCTCTGCATCACCTGAAAGTACATGGATGTCTCCATTAAAATAAACTGTACGTTCAAAGGTCCTCTAGGGATATATTGATAGTGACAAGCAAAATCATCATCTTCTGTGAGCTAGAGAACATCTTGTGGCAAATTAAGCAAGCATTTAATTCACCAACGAATGATGTTTTGACCTTGACAAACAAGCAAGCCAACCAGGAAGTCTCTTTTCTTGCAGGAAAATGCAAGACCAATAGCGGCAGAATTAAAACATCACAACTAAAAGAAAACAAATCTGAGGTCTTGTATTGCTCATTCATTTTAGCCTGACTTGGGTCTAGATAAAGGACTAACTGACCAATGCCATCAATTAGAGAGAACCACAACTTTCCAACCTTTGTACTGTAAGTTACTGTAGGTGCAACTACAGAAGACGAGTGGTGGAACATCCTTCTCCAGTCTAATCAATCAAGAGCCTGATCAGGACCATGCAGCAGCACTGCCAGGATTGTGATAATGCAAAGGCTTACCATACCGAATAATGAATGTAAAATGTTTTCATTTTGAAAATGTGTTATGGTTCAGCTGAAAAGATATCATAATTCTTTGATCTGTTTTTTAAGGATTTCTGTGGTTTTGTTATATGTGTATTTAAAATATGTAATTAAATCCATTAGATCTGAGTGTTTGTGCATCAGTACAAATGTACAGTGTCTTGCAAAAGTGTTTACCCTCATTTTAATACTGAAACTTACTGTAAAGCAATTATACCCAACCATCTTGAGGTTTTTGCATGTTTGCCAATTATTCTGTGCAAAGGTGGTAGAAACTTATACAAAAAACTGTAACTGCTGCCAAAGCTGTTGACACTATATATTGACTCAAGGGGAAGAGTACATATGCAATGAACATACTGTAATTGATTTTTCTTTACAGATATTTAATTTTTTCACCTATAAAAGTGTTCAGTTTGAACATTCTAGTTTTTATTGTAAATATTCACTTTTTACAATACCTTCAATGTTACCAAAAGAATGGTCAAAGAGTGGTCCATTTCCAGGTACATCAACATGGCGCCCTGCCTGGCAAATCCAGTCAAAGCTGTCATTTGTCTCTTGGCGCCAGTTGCAGAGCCCTGGGAATTGAAGAATTTGTTACTGTTTTCTTGTATCCCTAAACTTGTTGATGGACCAATGGCCTCCTTTTCCCTTTGCAGCATCATCATATCTCCCAGTACCACACAGGCAGTGCCAGATGTGCACAACACTTTGATTTCAGAATGACATCAGCAGAAATGGAAATTCATTTTTTTCAGCTTTGTGTACACTATAATAGCCCACAATAGCCCTCACTTAACTGTTTTAGTCATTTTTAATATAATTAAATTTGACAAATTTATAGACAGACTTCCATCATCTTCTTTAATAAATACTACCCCCAAATGCCAATCTGTAATGGAACTGCTGTCACTCTGAATCTTTGGCATATTTGCAGCAGATAGCAGTCTGCTGCAGCTGGTTAGGATAATCTCTTCAAATAAAGTAAAAAAAGCACTTTTTTAGAACAATTAAAAAAGCAAATAAGTAAAGGTGTCTGCCAGCTAAATAATGGTTCAGACCATTTTCCTGGTTTAGACTATTATCATGGAAGGAAAATCAGATAGCGAGGAGCACAGTTACTATTTTAGAATCCTGGTGGGGGAATCCTGGTGGGGGTTTGGGTGTCAGGGTCTGTGGCTGGTAGAGGAAGGGAGATTGCACATGAAAGGCATAAAATAGACAGTTGTTAGAGATCCTAGCTGTGGGTTAAAAGGGAAGTGGTGGCAATGGAACTCTGTGATGCATACTGTACATGTACCGGCTAAAAGAGAGACAGCTTGCCAGGATGTACAAGGATCCAGGAACCAGAGAGGAGATGGAAAGCTCCTGAAAGGCATCCTGGGGAAAGGAAGCCCTGTCTCAGTGCATCAGAAATTTCCCCCGGAGAGGAAATATGGCTAATGATAATTCCAGAAGGGATGATGTAAACAGAAAATTGGTTATTATTACAAATGTAAACTTCCCCTAGCATCCCATGATGCTCATAGTGCCAACAAAGACTGGATATCTGGGAGGCTTTGGGTTGTACAGTCTCCCAAAGGAGTGAACCTCAAGACAATGAAAAGAACATTCCAGATGCAGGTCACCTACAGTAAAGAAGCCACGCATAAAAATTTGTGAAGCTGGGAAAATACTAGTGTAATATACTGTTCAGTACAAAATCTACACACTGTCCTGTGGTCATTTCTAATATTTTGGTATATGTCTAGAAAGACCACACAGGATTATATCTGGAATCTCACAGGGAAGGTCTCACAGACTAACTGAACACAACATTTAAGGGACTGTGATGGTGCTTTAACAAGACACCTCCAGAATGGACAATGAATTGGGGATATTTTTTTTTTCGATTTTGATTTTTAAGAACTTTATTTTCTTTTCACAAAAAAATACAGGGCATCACACATTAGGAAGCTTTACATTAATATACATACTTAAAACAGTATATATGATCACATCTCATTACATTTTGACACGGTACCTTACATAGCAACAATTTATTTTGTTCTGGTGCAAGTCACATTCTTTACTTAAACATGATATTGTTTTTCATAGCATCTTGAGATACTATCCTATGCCCTCTACTTCCCACAGATTTTCTGCTTCCTCCCTCCCTTCTCTCCACAGATCTCTGAGGTAATAGTTCTCTCGGGTGATGAACAGGGCCAGGCTACCTGCTTCCTTGACTAGGACCTCGATGCCTTTGAACACCCCATGTTCCTGACTCTCCACAGGGCGTCTTTCCCACTGTTCACCACGGCCCAGATCCTGTCAAACCCGTCAGGAGGAAGTTTGACAGGAGAGATGCCGTATATAACGAAAGCAGCGGTCAGGGAAAATTGGGGCGAGAGAGCTTGCAACCAGTATTCAAACTGGGCCCAGAAGGCCTTAGCAAAAAAGCAGGACCACAGGAGATGGGTCATAGTCTCCTCCTCACCACAACCCACCCTAACACAGCGAGGGCTGGGGGGTGAGGCCCCTACAGTACAAGAAAGTTCACATCACTAAGCACTGGTGGATGACACTCCAGGCTAAGTCTCTGTGAACATTGCACAGAAACTTAGAGGATGTGTGTTTCCACACCTTCCTTGTTTGGGCTGATGTTAAAATGCCCACAGGGGTCTGCCTATTGTTCTGGGGTGCAACGAAATCTTCCAGGTTTTGGACGCTGACATCTTGGAGGGGAATACTGTATGGCCAATTGGGTGAGATCTTAGAAAACTTTTAACTGTCCCATAAATTGCAGGGCATGTGTCAGAGAGTGGGACATCCAGCTTGGGTCTGACACCCCACACTCTGAACACCTCCCTACCTACCCAGAGCCTGGAAAAATAAGTCCAGGTACACACTTCAGGTGCTGTTGCAAAGCCTCTCAGCACAGAGGCCAGGAAAATGCAAAGCAGCTTCGTAGCAATATCGGGGACAGACTTCCTCCCTGAGAGTAGCGGCCTGTACATTATTTCCCTCCTGAGTCTTTCCTGCTTCCCACCCCATAGAAATTTAAACATCAATCTCCACAGCACCACCACAACACAGTGTGGGATAGGGAAGGTAGAAGCCAGGAAACTCAAAACAGGCAAGAGCTCGGCTTTGATGACCAGCACCTTCCCTGTCATGGTGAGGTCTCGGTCTTGGACATGGTGAGATCCTTACCTTGTTCAAAACTGCAGTCCATAGGAGAGGGTGGCTGTGTGGGCCTCACACTCGTGGGAGGTAGTGTGGTTAAAATAATGTTAGCACAGGTAGTGTCCTTCCTCACACTGATGTCATCCAGTGCAATGTCACCTTGATCAAAGACGTTTCCTTCTTTTCCTTCAAATAAAATCTGTAATGAATCAGTCACAGCTGTGTAAATTGAAGATATGATGCCTAGGTTCTCTGAGAAGGGGTAGGGGTGAAGCACCAGAGGCACAACCTGTAAGGACGCTAGCCTGGAGAACAGGTTGAGCCCTGTGGTCCAGTAGTCACTGATTCAGGCCTGGACTATATTATAACCTGACTATGACCAGGATTTCCCAGACAGTAGCACACAATTCACCAAGCAGCACGGGACTTGGGCAGACATGAGTCATTTACAGTATCTTAGGTTTGCCATGAAATAGTCTCTGACCTTGAAGACTTTCTCCTTTTTTCATAAGAAAAGCCACTTCTCCAGTCAATGATAAGTTTTCTTACAGTCACATGTGCTCACAGTATCCTAGCTTCACCTTTTCTAAAATTTCTTATGCTTTTAACATGTGTTCATTGAGACTAACATTAAGATAAGATCACTTTATTGGCCATAAACAATTTCTTGTATTAGGAATTTGTCTTTTCGCGTACTCCAACTTGCTCTCCATGAAACACACAGACAGGGAGAGAAGCTTAGGGTCAGAGCACAGGGTCAGCCATTTATACAGCGCCCCTGGAGCAGTTGGGATTAAGGGCCTTGCTCCGGGGCCCAATGGAGTAGGATTCCTCTGCCGGCTGCAGGATACAAACCAGCAACATCCAGCCACAGGTGCAGATCCTTAGCTGCAGAGCCACCACACCACACCCTTACTATACTTGATTATGTGCAATAACAGTAACTATTTAACAACAATAATGATAAGAAATATAAATTTCTAATAAATATTTATGCGTATATTAGAACTAAATTATACGATCCTATTGCCTGACTCCTCATTCACTTTATGTATGTACTCTGAATTTCTCTGTAAATTCTAAAATCTCATAAAAGACATCAAAGGAAACACTGAAGCACAATACATCTGTTTTTATGGAAGGCTCTCACCTGATATCGCTGTGTAGTTACGTAATCCACCCTTGCTTCCAGCCAAGCATCTCCTTGGTCCCCTGTCATGCTCCAAATAGCCTGGCATCCATCAGCATCTTTAATATACACTGTAAGAGTCCCCTTCACTAAAGAAAAAGAAGGTGTCAGTTTTAGGCTGATGTTGATTGCTGATATGAGTTTCTTTAAACCACAACAAAAATGTATTGAGTGCATCTACATTAACAAAATAACTCACATCACATTTGATCTAGTTCTGGTTTACCATTATAAGTGGCAAATAATGTTTTTTCTCATATACTAATAAATACTAAGTATTAAATTGCTTGACCTACTCACATAGGTGTATCATTCAAACTTTAATGTGGAGCTATTAATTTTAGTACACATATAAATAGAATCAAAAGAAACTTACTCTTTTGGAATGACAGCACATACCATTGACAATGTTTTAAAATAACCAGTATCTGTATCAATCCTGATTTGCATGCACGGATGTTTTATTACAAAGTTAAATAAACATATTCAGTAACTACTGCATTTATCATGCAAATGTGACTATTAATTAAACAAGGGATTAAATATTTTAAAATAATGAAAGACTATTTCAGGACCAATTGTTAAGCAAAGATCTGAGATACCAAGTAGAAAGTTAATGTTTTAGGATTTAACATGTTTCTTTACTTCTTAAGTGCTGTGGGTGCCTGGAACTATTTATGCAGCCGTTATATAAAAATAGATTCCCCTAGGATTCTTAAACAAAAGCCTAGAGAACATCCTCAGTTCAATAAGTACCAAGTGATCAAATAAGAAAAATGGGCTGAATTACCTCATTTAATTTGTGACCTTTGTTGCGGTCTTTAAAGAAAGCAACAAACCCACTAAAAGTGATTTCTGAAGAAGTATTCACATGCTTCATTTACATAATCTGATTCCTCCTCTAAGCTATATAGTACACAGTGTTCTATTGCAACAATTATATGTATTTGTAACCCTTTTGTTATTGCTGATAGCTTGGCACTTATAGTCACCTTGTGAGTCAAACTGCAATTTACTTTAATCTTTGGGTTGGAGCCAGCCCATTGTAGTCAAAATAATTAATTGATGTTTCACGGATTGTTTCTTATCTTTTACTAGTTAAGCTCTGCTTCTACTGCTTCACACATCCGATTTCTATCATTTATATGCACAATGGAGAAACAGACTCCATTGTTCATCTGCACAGTATAAACAAACAAAATGAGCCAACTCAGAAACAAAAAAGGTTTTAGAATGTATACTGTATATATATATAGAACACATCTGGAACTTCAATACCATTTCACAGCTTTGTAATCTCTTTTGTGTTTACAACAATTCATATATAGTACCTAACTATTTTTGTCATGTCCAATGTGAACAGGGTCCTCATGGGAAAACAGGCATCCCCTGTTCTGTACTGCTCAACTTCTGGAATAGGAGATACCATCTCTGAGACACAGTAAGACTTACCTATAGTAGAAAACATGTGCATATGGTACCAGAATGTCAAGCATGCAGCAGAGGTTGGTTCCATGTATTCACTCAAAAGATGTGCAGTTTTGTCACTGGACATTAAGCCAGTCATGAAGAACACATAGTGTCCTATAACAGATCAAAGCACACTTTAATTGATATCACACTTCTCATCCTGGTCCGCTGTATAGTGACCCGCTGCATTCATGCTGAATAGATACTGAACAGCTCAACATATCTACAGGAGACAATGTTAAGAACTACTGTACATGCAAAAAATATTCCAGTTACTCCATTGATTCACGGATGAGAAACAGAAATGGTTCTCCAAGTATTGAGTTGTCTTCAGTGTCGCCTTATTGCTCTGATTAACCTTCCCTAGATAAAATTAAAATTTAAGCAACATCACAGTGTGTAAAAAAGTCAACATCCTCAGTTATGCGAAGTAAAGTTAAATAAAATCTGCTATTTGGATACATTCTACAAGCATTTCAGTGTTTTTTACCACTGTGTTGGGTGTATAGTTTACTGCTGATAGTGAGTCAATATTAGCATACCCAGCGCAGAGTTGGTAGTGTGATCTACAGAAGGCCCATAGAGAGAGTTAGGAGTAGATCCTGAATTCCAGGTCCAGTCCAAATCGTCTCCT